CACACACACACACACACACACACACACACACACACACACATATATATATATATATATATATACTTTGATTAGGGAATTATCCTGTGTAGATTACACATGATGGCATACTTTGTGCATGCTGTTGATTAAAGCATTTGCTGTGATCAATATAAAAAGGAGAGCTGTTAAAATTGCAGAAGATTTAGTATACAAATGGTTGCAGTTCAAGGTAAGATTAGTGTAGGCAAATTATTTATTTATTTCAAATGTCAGGCATTTTGATAGTTATCATTAGCCCTTTAGTTGACTTCAGGCTTCACAGAGATGAGGAGGAACATCAAAGTGATAAAAATTCAAGAGGGGAAATGAAGAGCGATTCACATATGTAAAAGAGACAGACAGACAAAGACAGAGAAAAGGCTAGATGAGTACTGTGAAAGGGGTCGAATATGACATACAGTGGGGTCATGGTAGTTTAAAGTCAGAGGTCAACTGCCAGTTAATAGACTTTTTTGTCGTATGAGTATACGTTGCCCAGGGTGCACAACGTAGGCAAATTATGGATCGGTTATTAGCTAACGCTTACTATTATCAAATATATATTAGTGAGAATTAGTGGCGGCACTAAATGACCTCTAGCCTATCTCAAAACCTATAACTTCAGTTCATACAGTTTGGGTTATCATAATTTTCGGTTGTTATTTTATCTACTTTAACTATGTCTCTATTAAGTTGACTATAGTGTTGGTTAAATGATCTTATGACTTCGAGTCCACATCCCTGACATCTGTCCTCTTCGTCTTTTCTATTGATTTTAGGTACTGGTCTTGGCATGTAGAATCGGTACATTGTTTCTTTCTTAAATACTGTTATAGAATCTGTGATCTTTGAGTTTTATGCGAAAGTTCTTCTGTTGTGATTTATCACTTATCACTCGATCCTCTTCTTTCTGAACTTCAGGCTGTTCCGGTAATTTTATTTGTTGTCACTGAATAGTTAAACGCCAACAAGAGCTTTACGTGTGATTTTCAATCCGCATGCTCTGTAGTGTTCTATGGTCAGTGTATATTTTATATACTGCGGCATTAAAGGAGGCATGAGAATTTGACCGCAGAAGCAACTGAAGCGTAAAGGTGCCAGCGTCTTAGTGATGTGAGTGATTATCACCTCTCAGATTATATTCACTCAGAAGAACTCATTCTTGCTCTCATTTACGCCCTGAACTAGTGACCTCAGAGCCGGCGTACACGCGCACTCAAAGCGTACTTGTCCTGCTGGAAGGGACATTTTTAACAATTATTCCCTTTCTTTGATTTGCTCAATTCCCTCCCTGGTTTATGTCTAGAAAGTTTTTTGTGCTTTTTATCCTTTAGCATTACTTAGAATAATGATTTCTACTCTTTCTCTTTCTAGCCTTTACCTGAATGCCTTGATAATTCTATTTCTTCTCTTATCCTTCCTTTTGCTTTGTAAGGAAGTACGATTATATATGATCGGGACTGATAGACTTGAAATTGAGCCGAATATGCAAATTAAGTGGATTCTACTTAATAGTTGACTTCATTCAATTGGCGGTCGTATCAACGACAAACATCACTCACGCCTGGAGAAAAAAATGTTATACAACTTTTATTGTGTGAAGAAGAGCAGCTTTCATTTAAACTCACTCAAAATTCCCAAACTGCTACAAAATAGGAGGGGGGGGGGGGGGGGGGGGGAGGGTAAAGGAGGGGTTAATTAGCAAATTAAAGTTGAATACCATAAAGTTCGCAACAATTAGGTACTCCGATATCAGCTTACATGGTCCATTTCATTGTTAATGGAATAAAAGTGAAGAAAATAGTGCAAATGCCACATTTCGTCAAGAAAGAAAGTTAACGAGACTTCCCATTTGCATTTTCTCCGAGGCAAAAAATTATATGGTCAGTCCGGACATATTAATGGATTGAGTCGTATCGCGAGATAGATTGGTTTGGAATGCTTGCGTAGGTACCCCCATTTTGTTAGATGATAGCCTTAATGCTACCACTCATGTCTAATCGTGCCACGACAGTGTCAACAGGATTGATCCGATCCTCATTGTTATAGCGTTTCTTTGCTACTGGTGACCAACTATTCAATAAGATGGGGTGTGGCGGGGGGGGGGGGTGTTAAGTGCGGAATTTTCATAAAAATCAATTAGGACCAAATGTAGGGTCGTCACATTGAAGTTAATCACGCGTCGGTGCTATCTTGAGATAAGAACAGGTGTAGCGGCAGTATTTTCAGTTCTTGTTCTATTCATCAACATTTTTTTCTTGATCGTCTCTTTTTCCTCATTCTCAAGTAATTACAAAGGCGACAGTAATTCTCAATGTGAAGTACTAATTTGCTTTGGGGCGTGTTTATTAATCGTTTTATGTGGCCATATAATTAGTTGGTCTCCAAACCACTACCATTAAGCGCGCCAGTGTTTTGTCTCTACGCGACGTGCTTGCACGTGACCGTATCCCAGGCCGATCCAATCGTATTCTGAACACTCGCCATCCCACTCTCCTTCAACTCTGTCTCCACTTTATAAGGTCTGGATTGATAGGGAAATTGTCAAGCTAAGACCAACAATTAAGTGGTATAAGTTTTTTTCCAATCGTGCCTCGTGATTTCAAGAGGGAATAGCTGAATAAAGGGCTTTTTTCCTTTCAATTAGTTTAATCTAGTTGATTGCTTTCCACTAAAGCTCACTTATTCATTCCTTAAAGATCTCTATGAGTTTTATTACAATATTAGGCGTATCAATTCCCTCGTCTAAAAATGTCTATGCCAATCAACGAAATTGCACGTAGCCCTAACAGGGAAAGATGAAATGCGATTGATGACTTCAGAATTTAGTATTTTTATAAGAAATTCAGTAGACAGGAAATCACTCTATTCTCAAAGAGCTTTGTTCAAAATAAGCCCCACTGGTGTCTACTACACCCTCAATCAATTCCCGGAACCCGGAGCGATCTGCTTTTACACGTTCTTGGTCAGGTTCTCAAAAAATACTTTAATATTGTTCATTAACCAGCCACGGCAGTTGATGTTTTTCTCCACAGTTCCCAATACATTCATGATAGTCCATTGGTTTAAGACCTGGGGAGTAAGCGTTGAGGGGAAGTAAAACACCGGAACTGGCTTACTGCTAATTTTGACCTTTCTTTGGGGTGTGGCAGGGGTGTGAGTCCTGTTTCCGCGCCATACATATTACCTCTTATTGGCTATCTTCGCTCGTTAAGCACCATTATGCCCAGAAATTTCTTGGCCTTTGTCGGATGGCGATTTTCGATGTCCTTTTGAGGGGGAAATCGATCTCTGCGACGTTGGTGTGACTAGTATTTACGAAGTTTTTCGTTGAGTGTAAGTTTCATGACGGAGACTAAAACATTGAATTAACTGTGGTGATAAAGTCCAATTTCCGACATCAGAGTGCTCCAACATTATGTTCCTGTAAAATATTAGCTCTTCCTGATCAAAATCCAGTTCATATATGTTTACATAGATCAGTATTTTTATACTTGCTCAAATCGACTAAGCGTACCTCCTCTCCTTACATTAAAAATGCTTAGATTAAAATTTGTCCATAGGGGATTTATTTAATTGCTGTTTTAATCATCATCTGTTGAAAAGTCGAATATCTAAAAGTATTTCTCATGTTTCTAATTCCACTTAGTAGAGTGGTCTCTTCTTAGCGTTGAGACATTTCTTTTGACCATTCACGAATTCTCCGTTTTTATTTGACACTAATGACTTCGCTGAAAAGCTCCGGAGTCTCACTATGTTGACTTCATCAATAAGTGATTGACCACCCTTTCCCTCTTCAGGTGCTCGTATTCTGCTTCCCTCACGAGTCCTAGTCCGCATTCCAGCCTGCCCGGCCTGCCCCCTCTCAGATTATAAGTTCGTCTCTGAGACCCCTGACGATGTTATTCGCCGAGTGGCTCTCTTCTGTCGCCCCTTGGGAAGCGCTACACCACCCGCGTTGCTCCGCGCAAGTACCCCATCTGGTCACAACAGCCCACTGAGTACCCCCGCTGACAGTGGTGAGTGCTCTTCCGATTCGGAATTCAATGCTGATGAGGATTCTGTGGACAAAGAAGTAGAAGACGCGGTTGTCAAGATGACAGAAGGTGGTGATAATGTGGAGGATGTGGAACCGGTCTTTGATGCTGCCTGCTTGGATACGCAACTAGAGCGCACCTTTGACTCTGGTAAGCTTGAATTGCGGTAGTACGTATGCATGACCATGCAATTATTATTCAATAATCTCTTTAAATTAAACATGTCTTTCCTTTAATGGATGAAACACTCACAGTTTTAGCCCGTACAACTTTGGCTCTCATTCTTCAAAATGCCAAGGAGTCTGCCGCTAGGCTTCAGTTGCTATGAGAAATTTTAGCCTATAGGGCACTTTGTTATTTTTTAGTTCATGCTTTAGCTTTGGCTAATCGATGAATTAGTGAATCGCCTTAACGGTCAACATGAACATTAGTAATGTTAGATATCATGAATTTTTTATACATCGATTATACTTACTACCATATCAATTGTACCTATTAAAGGTGCTTCACCAGAAAAGGAGTTTCTCATTATATGGCGAAAACGTTTTCTCTGGAATTTTGAGAAATGGGGTTGGGGGATCAAAGCCGTTCAAAGGTGTGTTCACTTGCCGATATCCATTAATATGTAACTATACAATTCCAGCAAACATACTTACCGACGATACACAAATCAATGATGTCTCTCATTCCTTTCCCTTCTCTTCCAGGTCCATTTTCTCATGTAGTATACATTTGTGATTGTGTAGTTTACAGTATATTCCCTCTTAATCATTAATCTTCTCGTTTTGTGAAAGACCTCTTTAAGTAGATCACCATTGCACTGAAGGGTGCTTGGCTTTATTTGTTCAAAGGATTTGAAGGTGGTTTCGACTAGTTTTTCATCCATTTGATTTTGGCAAGAATAATAAACGAAAGAGTTATCTATAGCAAAAACCAGGGTTTATATTTAATGATTTGATGGATTCTAGATCATGTTTATTTGTTGTTTATTGTCAGAATTTATTAGGCTTTAAAAATTGAGTATATATTCCCCTATTAGTTTGTTTTTGAATGCATAAAAGGGATGTAATAAAAAACTCCTCTATCATCTTTACAAATAAATGGTTGCAAGCTTCTACTTATCTAAAATTATTTTGATATTAAGTGGTGCGCTATTTGATTTACTGATTGGGAAGCTCTCACATATTATCTAGCTTCTTTTCTTGAAGGTATTGGACAATGTTTTAACAGCTCTTGATTTAGAGTGTTTTTTTTGTTGATTGGCTCTTGTGCAAGTTAAAATAGACCCAATATAGTGCTTTCTCACATTTGGCACTTTCCAGAGTAGTTGTTTCGGAATCCTTTGATAATTCCATTATTTTTCAACAAGACTATAAAACTAGCAACGTCTTGACTAAACAAGGCTTCGGAATAGTCAAAATATAACGCTGGCTAGCAGTCATGGTGATTGTTCATTTTCTTCGCCAACAGGGATAGGAACATTCTCCATGCCTCTAGACCTATTACTTGCTTAGCTAAATTTCGATTAATTTTGGCACTATCTCTTTAAATTGCGAATTGGCACATTACCAGAATCTGGCTATTAGCTTAGTTCGTTCATTTTACACAGACTCGCGTTGTGTGCAGTAGCAACTACTGGTAGCGATGAACTTTGTTCCCTTGTATGGGGGTTTGAACAACAATGTTGGGGGGAAAGAGGGCGACAACACTTCAATATTTCAGTCCACTACGGATAGTACTTCGCTGTTATTCCTTCCCCTTTTACTAACCCGGACATTTAGTTTGGTCGTTTAGTCGCACTCAAAGACGGAAAATTGGCCACTTGTCTATTCTGCCACCTCACGATATTTTACTGCACAGGTGGTCCATATTTTAAGCATTTGTTTTACTTTAAAACAAGTCGAGCGGAAATGAAAAGAATCCCCCAGTGACTATTTTTTTTCCCAGGGAAATATGAGATGACACTTCTTGTAAGTAACATCTCTTTATCACTTATTTGCTGCTTTCTTCATTGATGGTTTGTTTCTAGCGCGCCTCATTCAGATGCAATGAAATAAAAAAAAGTAAAATATTCTTTCTATACAATCACTTTAATTGGTGTTTACAGCAGTTGGAAACCAAGGTGTTCACATTGATTTACCTTTCATTGTGTGTTTTAGACTCCGTGGAAGAGGAAATCTCCCAACTGGAACTCTTGACTGATATTCAAGAGATGGCTCAGACGGTTAAACAATGTGCGTGTCACTCTTTTTGTAAATTCAATCTACTTATATTTTTATAGCAATAAGTATTTTTTGTGTAATTTTCAGCGCGGGGAAAGATTCTTCTGATTGGAAGCGCATTCGTTGTGCTCATTCTAAGCACTCTCATGGCCATCTACATGGAGCTATTGTCTCTGTAAGAAGGAAGTCGATTCTCCCTCTCTCCCGCCATCCGTTTCATGTCTTAACTTACTGTACACACGGTTATTCCATAAAGAAAACATACCTTTGGGGACAAATCGGTTGTAATTATTTGCGTCTTCCTATGCTCTTGGTTATTTTTCCCTCTCATCTTATGACTATTCACTCTCCATATTATTGTGTTCGTGGTTGTACTACTAGGTGTAGGTATGGAGTAAACAAGGGAATGAATTTCATGAAAGTATATACTCATAATGGAGCTTTGCAATTTAAGCTGTTTTTAAAAAGAGAGATCGTCGCTATTGCAGTTGTATTGTTACGGGAAAGATTTTAGCCTGTTAAAGAATTCCGGAAGTATGGTAATACATCCGGCGCATTTTAGGAAGTTATTCGATTTGCTCTGTCCTCGGTGCGTCTATTTTTCTACGTACTTTCCTTCTTAAATAATAATAATAATTCCAAATCGCAGACTTCCGCCCGTTTTCAAATACAGTGCAGTGATTGATTAATTGCGCTACAATTAATGGGTAAAATATGAGTTTAAGAGGTAGGAAGCAGAGTGATCTATTCTGATCAATAGGACACGGGTGATAGTTATGAGGGAAGTTTGGGAGAATTTTTATCAATCGACTGTGTTCTGAGAGATATGTCGACGACCACCATGAAAAGATTAACTACAACCATATTCAGTGCAAGTTAGCTAAGATCCGGCTGGCAGCAAGGCATTTCCCAACTCTAGGAATGCACATGCAGATCTACGCACCCAGCTGCATTACAAAACATTACAGCCAGTTAGAAGTAAAAGGAACGATAGGAATTACATGATAAAGATGGCTTATTAGAAAGACCTAACATGGTGAAACTTGGGACTTTTGCCTGGCAATACATCATGGCAATAATGTTCTCTAGCTCTAGTAACCAAGCATGTGAACGCCGGTTGCCTTTGGTAAATGGAGGTGTGCATTTCACCTGTGGCCGAAAGTAAACTAGATTTAACTGTAGAGAACTTCAGCGGCCAAAGTTTCACGAGTAGAACATTAACACAAGATTAAGTAAAGCACGCTATTTTCTTCAGATCATCCAAACAGCCATTAGGCAAATGGTTAAGAAGATCGAAATTCAATTAAATTTTTTTGGAAAAAAATATTTCATCTTATACGAATATATCTAAGCGAACAGTATAGATAAATATACAAATTTGTTCAATACATACACAAGCAGAAAAGAAGAGAGGGAGAGGGGGGGGGTCTTATTTCTGCTTGACCGTCTTCGTTCGCTTGAGCGGAGGCTCTTCCACAGTCACCATTTCGTCCCAAACATCGCCACCTTCTGCATTGACCTGTTCGCAATCATCGCCATTTTCAACCCCCTCCTTGTCAGTAGTGCCAGTAAGGGGAACTGTAGCCGATTCGCGAATGAGGAAAGTGGAGACAGGAGCTTTAGTGAAAATCTATAATTGTTGAAAAATCAATGATATAGCCAGATTTTGCACAGAAAGTGAAATAGCAATTAGGAAGCGAATATAATCATGTATTGAAATTGAATTACAGTAAGTCAAGAAATGCTTTGAGTCTTAATTATGGTAAAATAACGGGTAAGATTGGAAAATTTAGTAAAATCATGGTTTTACTATAGTTTGGTTATAGGAACGTATGTGCGCCATCAGCTAGATAGATAAAATGTTGTGACATTGCGGGTACGGAATCGATGTGCACTCAATGCGCGGGTGGCTGAATACAGGCTTTCAATCAGGAAGAAACAATGTCAAAACTGAGATCCAATATGGGATCTGGAAAACGCTTCCCTAAATAGGTCGTAAAGTTATTATTAATAATAACAGCATAGCAAAATCGAGGAAGCCATAGATGGAACTATATTTCTCAAATTCATTGCATTTAATGAAGTAGATGAGCAGTCAAGCAACATAGCGACAAAACAGCGCATTATCCTGAACGAATAACACCCGTCATTAATAAAAGAAATTAATCAGTAAACACTTTTGTCGATCAAACAGATGCCAAGCCTTGAGAGTAAATGAAGCTGGATGACACAAATAATAAGAGCCCAATAGGACACTAACAAGAATAACAAGAAAAACATGACGAAGTGCTAAGATTAACTTAGTTTACAACACAAAACAAGAAAGACGACGTTTCCAAACAATCCTAATTCGATTAACTTTGCTGAATTCAGTAGCCCAAAGGCTTTTAATCAACTCAAATGAAACTAAAAAGGGAAGGGGGGGGGGAATCAATACACTAAGTCCGACAATCTTCGAACTTGATTGACAAAATGATATCACGATTAATAGAAAAAACGCTATTGCAAACAACATACAGAAGTAAAGAATGTTAACCGACTTAAAATATACCTTGTTGACAAGTACACCGGTATCACGATGGTAGACCCGAATATGCCTGTCCAAAGAAGCAGATACAACCACCGGCTGATCATTTACACTTGCGCCAGGCATAGCATGAGGAAGATTAGCACAACCAGCTCCACCACAAACTAGGGCAGACACAGAACCAAGTGAAGGTGGCATATATCCCAGCACACGACTTGGTGGCACAGGTGCTCTAGCTCCCACAGATTTGGCTTTTCTCCTTTTTTCAGCCTCTTTATCCGAAACCAGGCTAATATGAGGCACACGGAAATCTAAGCGACAAATATCTCCAATCGCGTTAGCTGCAACAGCCCTTAGTCCAGATCCAGGAGCCGAGGAATAAGCCACACAACGAGTGATAGGTCGTGTTACCGTTAAATCCCGCAGCATTGCTGGATTATGCCCCGTTCCAACAGATTTTTTGCCCTGTTTGTTACTAATTCTCCAAGCTGAACGAGACACAGGTCTTCGCTGATTACTGCGGAGATCATAAACGCAAAACTAAATGGTATGATTAGTTGCAAAGCATCGAACCTACATCACCATATTTAGAGGACGTAACAAACAAGCGGCTGCCATAACCTTCAACAAAAGATGCATCTGAGAGCCAAATGGGAACGTTTAAATCAAGAGTATCGGGTCGGACATTCTTTGCTGTGAATATGGGAGCTCCTGACTTTTCTAAATCCCAGACCGAAAAGAGGACGTCCCTTCCGCCGCAGATCATGTGATTGCCATAAGCTTTACAAACGCTGAGATTATTGGCAACAGTCATTTCAGACTAAAATTTGAAATCATATAAACAACAGGGCCATACCATTAAGGAAAAATCCAAAAGGTTTATTAGATACACCTTGCCTGATGATCGGCCAGCAACTAATAAGCTTTAAAGTGTTTGAATAAATGTTATAAATTTACCAATTTGTAGTTGAAAGCCCAATAGAATCGGATTCGTCGGTTTCATATTGTGGACACTTGACAACGGAAGAGGAGCCGGTAATCGTCGAGAAGTTTAGCAATCTGCCTCTATCTGCCCCGAAAATCTAAACCAAATGTAACCAATAAATATCTTACTCGGGAGGAATTACTAATATCCCACGTAATTGACTGCAATTCTTCGAAGAATAGTCCAGAATCAGCCAAGATAGATGATGAAAAATTAAAAGCTGTAAGGAAAATTAGCATTTAAGCGGTATATACTTTTGGAAATCCCGTGAGGTGAAACTGTAATGACGTCTCTCAAATCCATGCCTTAGTGCGCAGACAGACCAAATGTTGTAGGCTAAAGGAGCGAGGTTACTGAAGTCACGATGCTGTGAGTCCATTACATTAGCCATTAATGTTTTACACATATTTTTTATTAATACATTCGTAACTTCAGAGATTTTTAATTAACAATGGGTTATTATTTTCAAAGAGTCTACTTAATAGGATGTTGTAAAATGAACGTCAAAAATAATTTTAAACTAAACATAAGCATAAATATCAATTTCTCGTATTTAAATGAATACTTTTAACCTTTTAGTTATTTTATATAATTTTTTCATTGTTTCTACAATATGTAATTTAATATTGGTTAAGCTTATTCCCGCCAATTATGGATGTGGAAATTTCTTTGCCGGATCGAAATCCTGGCACGAATACCCCAAATTCAACTAAACGTAATCTTTTGCTTTTAATATTATTTAAGTGTAGATAATCCTCGAATAAAATTCTATTGCAATGAGATACTTAACCGCACTCAGGGGTCTGGAGGTTTGTTGGCATTTTATACGCTTTAAATATCTGCAGCGATATCAGTATTGGAATTTAACAAAGAAGGCACCCATCTTGCCTACGGAAATTCAGATGGCATTCTTAGTATTCTTGAATTGGGACAGAGCGTTTGTTTCTACTTAGTCTACTAGCTTCAAATTTTAGAGATCTGATATAGGTTCTTCCACACATGCTTGCTCTAAACCTTACCAGTCTTTCTTGAGCCATGAGCCTGAATTCGATTGCCTCAAATCTCAGTCTATTGAGGAAAAGCTAACCTTTATTCGCTGGCTGAACTGCTCTGGGCCTTCTCATTTTCTTCTTTCTGCTAATGGTAAAATTTAAAGCTAGCTTATGCCAAATTCTTATTTAATTGAAATTTCTTTTCATCCGTTAAAGTACATTTATAGAGCGTACTATTAAGTTATGGAGAGTTGCCGAGGTCCCTGTGCGAGAAATGGACAACTTAAACTTTCCAATTGAATCTGGTTCTCGCAAAAAGGTGGCCATTCGTTCCAATTCTGATATTAAAGTTCCTCAATGGAGATCTCGATCATCAGATAACAAACTAGTCCGGGTGTACAATAAGAAAGTCTACGCTCGTGGCCACGGGTTCTCCCTCACTGGCCTTGCTCTTTTTCTAGATCAACAAACTTTTCTTTCCTCTGATCCACTACGCATCAATCTTTGGCACTATGACGTAGATTACGAGGCTTTCAGTTCGTGAAGTTGAATTTTGTTTGATGTTATGTTTTATCAATATTTATATTAATCTATTTCTCTTCTTTTAGCTATCGTTGATCTAATGCCTGATCGGATCGAGGACATTTCGCATCTCATTACCGGTCTTACTACGTCACCTTCATCTCCTTCTTTATTTGCCTACAGCACGAATCGCGGTTCAATTCGCGTTTGTGACACTCGAAGCACTGCTTTATGTGATAAACCCGCATTGGAAATCAATAATTTGGCCGCATCTGAACAGAATGCGGTTGTTATCCTCCTTAATTCCATATCAGATCTCAAATTTTTCAACAACAGTGACCGATTTATTGCCACAAGAGACTTTATGTCCGTAAAGATTTGGGATTTGGCCAATACATCAGCACCTGTTGAGGTCTACCCCGTTCAATCCCACTTAAAACCATATATGAACAGCATATATGAGACAGAACTTCTTTTTGACGACTTCAAACTTTCTCTATCATCAGATGATAAGTATATAATCACAGGATCCTACCAGTCGGAGATTCGCATTGTAGATAGGTCGATGGGGCCCTCAGGAATCTATAAAATTAAAATGGAACCAGATGATTCACATTTGTACTCAGGATTTTATGGCCATTCTTCCGACCTAATTACACCCGAATCAGTCACTGCCCCTTGGCCGCGCCCCCTCAGTGTGGATATGTCCGCCTCGGTGGCCGAATCTGGGGATTCTTCGCCTGATTCCACGACCGGAATTATGTCTATTTCTTCACTCTTTTCTCCAGTATCTGTAAAGAAGTGGATTAGTGTTTCTTGGTGTCCGAAATCTCTCGTGGTTGCTTCCTGCCATGCTGATGCTATTCATATTATTGAAGGTATGGACGATAACCCTTCTGGTTGTTTTTCTAGACCTGTTGAGAGTACGAATATTGATGAAAGCGGTTGATACGTTACCTCTGATCTGTCTCTCTTATTATCTTTCCCTCTTTCTATACCTCCGTTTCTTGCCCATCTCTTGTTTTCTCTAACCCGTCTTTCTATGATACTATTTTTTTATACCAACAACGAAATTCCACTGCTGCTGTCTGTGTACACGTTTGTTTATCTATCTCGTGTTCTCTCCCTTTCTGCCTATTTTCCACCGGTGCCAGAAACCACAGAAACCAAGCTTTGTTTCGTGTGAAACGAAGCTATTTACTTGAAGAAATCACGACTTTACAAGCGCATTGTCATGTTTTTAAGAGTGAATTCCCGGCTTTTTTGTGGGCTCTGACCCTCTCTTTACCTGAAATGATTTTCTTTGCTCCTTCTCAATTTCGTGCTCCCCCCCCC